TGTTTCGCACCGGCACTCTCTCCACCACTCCGCCTTAAGCACCAGTAACTTGTACGATTCATCTTCCAAGGTTCTTTAAGTGCTTGCAAAATGGCGGAAAGGGTTTGGGGTTTAGGGTCTAGGGTTTAGGGTTTAGGGTTTAAAATTTAGGGTTTAGGGTTTAGGGTTTAGGGAGTTTAGGGTTTAAAATTTAGGGTTTACGGTTTAGGGTTTAGGGTTTAGGGTTTAGGGGTTCTACGCCTCAGCCCCTCAACCCCTAAACCCTGAACCCCTTAAACCCATAAACCCTGAACCGCCCAAAAGCGTAAACCCCCCCTAAACCCCAAAGGAATCGCCGAGGGACCTGCCCACCTGCAAATCCCTTGGACCTTCGCAAGCCCTACACCCTAAACCTATCCCCTAAGCCACAAACCCTAAACCCCAAACCCTAAACCCTAGCACTGAACCTCTTGGCGTCAGGTACCCATATTGGGGAGGGAAAATCCGTTCCTGTACCCCTAAACCCTAAACCTTAAACCCTAAAACCCTAAAACCCTAAACCCTAAACCCTAAATCCTAATTAAACCCCTTTTCTGAACCTCCGAGCTTCAGGTAGGGCTGCAGCACCGCGCCCGGCAAGCGCGCCAGAGCCTGGGTCGCCGCGAGGCGGGTCCCGTCCTGCGAGGTGCGATTGGGGTTTAGGGTTTAGGGTTTAGGGTTTAGGGTTTAGGGTTTAGGGTTTAGGGTTTAGGGTTTAGGGTTTAGGGTTTAGGGTTTAGGGTTTAGGGTTTAGGGTTTAGGGTTTAGGGTTTAGGGTTTAGGGTTTAGGGTTTAGTGTTAGGGTTTAGGGTTTAGGGTTTAGGGTTTAGGGTTTAGGGTTTAGGGTTTAGGGTTTAGGGTTTAGGGTTTAGGGTTTAGGGTTTAGGGTTTAGGGTTTAGGGTTTAGGGTTTAGGGTTTAGGGTTTAGGGTTTAGGGTTTAGGTTGTAGGGTTTAGGGTTTAGGGTTTAGGGTTTAGGGTTTAGGGTTTAGGGTTACAAGGGTCAAGGGTTCAGGGTTCAGGGTTTGGGGTTTGGGGTTAAGGGCTTTGGCATCCAGCCCTTCAAACCGAGGCCCGAAATCTTCAACAGACCAAGAGCAGTCTCATCAACATAACACACCCTAAACTTGGGATGTTCTCCCTTATACTTACAGTCCTTAATAGGGATGATAATAGGGGGTACTACTATCCCGATTAAGGACTGTCAGACAAAGGGGGAACATCCCAACCCTAAAACCCTCAAATGTGGCTTAATAAAGGGGTCACGCTCTAGGCTTTATCGGATTCGGATTCAGTGGGTTGATAAGAAGTTGATAGAGGGGGTGGGGGATCGGGAGTCGGCACAGGTCCCTAAACCCTAAACCCTAAACCCTAATCCCTAATCCCTAAACCCTTTTTGGGCTTGTTTTGATCAGGTTGGAAATTGCACAGGGTAAGGTGGGATGAACGGAGAGATGACCTGGACTCCCAGCCCTTTGGAGTTTGGGATCAGCGCTCCAAAAGAACCCTAAACCCTAAACCCGAAACCCTAAACCCTAAACCCGAAACCCTAAACCCTAAGCCCGAAACCCTAAACCCGAAAACCCTAAACCCTAAACCCGAAACCCCTAAGCCATCCGCCAAGATTGACCCTGTGGAGGTCCTGCTGGAGCTTTGCAGCGATGGTGGAAGCATGCTCCTCCCCAAACGGCCCAAGACCTTGCATCACAAAAACCCTAAACCCTAAACCCTAAACCCTAAACCCTAAACCCTAAACCCTAAACTGCTCTCTCGCGGTCGTTGGCTGCCTATGATTAGCAGCACATGGTCAGTTCTCTCACTTAGGGTCCATTTTGGGGCTACTATTATCAGGTACTTGCTTAAGACCACCCAAAAAATAGAGAATACATTCTCCCTTATAAGGTTAATGTAGGGATCATCCCCCAACAAACAAAGAATATATTCTCCCTTGTAAGGGTGAGGTAGGGCTTTTTCTCAGAAATTCTTTTGGGTTCTGAAGCAAATAGTAGTTCTAGGGCGGCCCCGATGGCTTAGGGCACCCAAAAAAAGACCATCATTTAGAGAAACTACCCATAGCTACACTACTTAGAACCGGGTTTAGGGTTTAGGGTTTAGGGTCTTAGGGTCTAGGGCTTAGGGTTTCAAACCCTACACCTGAGAATCCTCACCACATGATGAATGGGGGACGTAACGAGGCGTCAGGGCTCAGGGTTTTCAGGTCTAGAGGTTGGAAGACAGTTCTCATCTTGTCATCAGCCGAACTCTAAACCCTAAACCCTCAACCCTAAACCCTAAACCCCCTAAACCCTAAACCTTAAACCCTACACCCTAACCCTAAAAAACGCCGATACTGTGCATGCAGGCGGCTTGTCAAGGTCAGGCAGGCGGCTCCTGCAAATCGCAAGAGAAAAACCGGGCTGGCCGAGTCCCTCCCGGGTTTAGGGTTTAGGGTTTGGGGTTTAGGGTTTAGGGTTTAGGGTTTAGGGTTTAGGGTTAGGGTTTAGGGTTTAGGGTTTAGGGTTTAGGGTTTAGGGTTTAGGGTTTAGGGTTTAGGGTTTAGGGTTTAGGGTTTAGGGTTTGCTAAGGTTCCGCGCACGCCACCACGCGGGACGTGTGTTGTGGTGTGCGCCCAGGTTCAACGCGCTCTCCCAACCCACCCACCCACATCTCAACCTTGGGCGGGTTTTGGGTTTTACAATATCGTGTGTAAGTACAGTCGTGGGAGGGGGCGCTACGGGCCGCCTTTGACCAAATCCTGGTACTCCCCGCGTTTTTGGTCCTGCGCCCTCTCTACGATTTGGGAGGGTCTGGGATTGGCCGAAGGAGGCCTTTTAGGAGGCCTTTTGGAAGGACTGTCCTGGGACCTCCTGAAACCCTGCTTACAAGATCCATAGGTTTTTATGTTGGGCTCCCTTTGATTTTTGGTCCTGCGAGACGATTGGGGAGGGTTTGAGAGGCCTGGCCGAAGGAGGCTTCCTGACTGGTGGCCCCCTGGAACCTCGGTCCCTGGGACCTCTTGGGACCTTGCTTACAAGAGATTTTTGGCGGGTTTAGGGTTTTTTTGCCCGGTGTTTCCCAAATTATGATGCTTATACGGGGCTTACAAGACCCATAGGTTTATGCCGTTTATGCCTTGGGCTCCCTTTGGTTTTTGGTCCTGCGCCCTTTCTACGATTGGTGAGGGTTTGGGCCCAAAACTGGTTTAATGATCCGGAGAAGCCCAAAAAGGCTCAAACAGTCTGGGAGGAGCCCAAACAGGCTCAGAACTGGTCCGGCAAAAGAAGCCCAAAAAGCTCAGAAATGGTCCAGGAGAAGCCCAAAAGCCTCAGAAATGGTCCGGGGCTCAGAAATGGTCCGGGCGGAGCCCAAAAAAGGCGGGACGCGCTCACCGCGCGCAACGGCCCCGAGCCCTCGCCAGGCCAAGGCTCGGGCTCGTCCGCGGGCCTGTCGCCACGAGGTATCGCTCGCTGCTGCTTATCGCAGCGCCCGCGGCTCGCTCCAGTTTAGGGTTTAGGGTTTAGGGTTTAGGGTTTAGGGTTTAGGGTTAAGGGTTAAGGGTTAAGGGTTTAGGGTTTAGGGTTTAGGGTTTAGGGTTTGGGGTTTGGGGTTTAGGGTTTAGTCTTTAGGCTTTAGGGTCTAGGGTTTAGGGTTTAGGCTTTAGGGTTTAGGGTTTAGGGTTTAGCGTGCCTGCACAGAAGGCCCTGAACCCTAAACTGCAGGTATACCCAATTTGCCTCAGGGCGAATTCACGCGGTCCAAGGCCATGAGGTATATGTACCCCTGTTTAGGGTTTAGAGATTGGGGCTTAGCCTCTGGCGACTCATGAACATCTGACTTCGAAAAGTCTATGAGTTAATCCGAAGGTACTACCACCGACCGGCAGACACATACATACATGCAAACACGGTCATACGCCAAACCGTTCCAAGTTGCTGTGATCTGCTTACCCGAAACCCCAAACCCAAAACCCTAAACCCCAAAGCCTGGGCCCTAAGTAATGATTTAGCCACGTGGGGCAATCTAATCCTCCCTCCAATGTCAAGACACGTACCTCCGCCCTCTTCAAACACTCTGACCCTGAAACCTAAACCCTAAACCCCGAACCCTAAACTTTAAACCCTTAGTCCTTGAACCCAAAACCCAAAACCCAAAACCCAAAACCCAAAACCCAAAGCAATCATATAGTTATAAACCCCGAACCCTAAACCCCGAAAATCATCCCCAAACCCTATACCCTAAACCCTAAACCCCAAGCCCTAAACCCTAAACCCTAAACCCTAAGCCCTAAACCCTAAACCCCTAAACCCTAAACCCTAAACCCAAAACCCTAAACCCTGAACGCAACCCGATGCTACCACAGGCCTTGGACTTCCGCGGAAGAATCTGCGAGGAGAGCCGCCACAGTGGGCACTTGCGTGAGGTCCCCGCCCACCTTTTGCAGGGTTTAGGGTTTCGGGTTTGGGGCTTAGGGTTTAGGGTTTAGGGTTTGGGGTTTAGGGTTAGGGGTCTGGGGCTTAGGGTTTGAGGTCTGGGGTTAGGGTTTAGGGTTGAGGGTTTAGGGTTTGGGGTTTAGGGTTTGGGGTTGGGGTTTGGGGTTTGGGGTTTAGGTTTTGGGCACGGCGAGCAGTAGGGTTTAGGGTTGAGAGCTTCTGGTTCGCTGCCGCAGGGCCTGGGGGATTTAGTGGGTTTAGGGTTTAGGGTTTAGGGTTTAGGGTTTAGGGTTTAGGGTTTAGGGTTTAGGGTTTAGGGTTTAGGGTTTAGGGTTTAGGGTTTAGGGTTGCAGGGGTTGGGGCGATTGGTGTTTGGGCGTAGGGATTGGGGACTTGGGATTATAGGGTGCAGGTTCTTAATGTCAAGGTTTGTGCAGTTTGGTGTTGGGTACATAGGGTTCTGGGCGTCTTGCCGCTTGGAGCTTATACTTCCAAGCAGCTCCGACAACAGTTTTAGAGGCGATGTGCATGAGCTTGCACGGAATTGCAGTTGTCATCGAAAATACACGACAGACCCATCATAGAGGATCGCGGCAAAAGCAGGAAAAGAAGCTTGGATGTGCTGCACGCCCTTCAGCTGACCCTGCACGGAACGGCCACCTGATAAATGATCGCCCCACGTCACGACGGACCCATCACCGAGGATCGCGGCAAAAGCAGAAAAAGAAGCTTGGATGTGCTGCACGCCCTTCAGCTGAGCTTGCACGGGACTGCTGTCGCCACCTGAATCACGATCACCCCACGTCACGACGGACCCATCACCGAGGATCGCGGCAAAAGCAGAAGAAGAAGCTTGGATGTGCTGCACGCCCTTCAGCTGAGATTGCACGGAACTGCTGTCGCCACCTGCAGCCGGATCGCCCCACGTCACGACGGACCCATCACCGAGGATCGCTGCAAAAGCATGGTCGGAAGCTTGGATGTGCTGAGCGCCCTTCAGCTGAGCTTGCACGGAACTGCTGTCGCCACCGAAACCACGTCCGCCCCACGTCACGACGGACCCATCACGAAGAATCGCGGCAAAAGCACCCTTAGAAGCTTGGATGTGCTGCACGCCCTTCAGCTGAGATTGCACGGAACGGCTGTCGCCACCTGAATAATGATCGCCCCACGTCACGACAGACCCATCACCGAGGATCGCGGCAAAAGCAGAAAAAGAAGCTTGGATGTGCTGAATGCCCGTCAGCTGACCTTGCGCGAGACTGCTGTCGCCACCTGAATCAAGATCGCCCCACGTCACGACAGACCCATCACCGAGGATCGCGGCAAAAGCAGAAAACGAAGCTTGGATGTGCTGCACGCCCGTCAGCTGACCTTGCACGCGACTGCTGTCGCCACCTGAATAATGATCGCCCCACGTCACGACGGACCCATCACCGAGGATCGCGGCAAAAGCAGAAAACGAAGCTTGGATGTGCTGCACGCCCTTCAGCTGAGCTTGCACGGGACTGCTGTCGCCACCTGAACCACGATCACCCCACGTCACGACAGACCCATCACCGAGGATCGCGGCAAAAGCAGAAGAAGAAGCTTGGATGTGCTGCACGCCCTTCGGCTGAGCTTTCACAGAACTGTCGTCACCATGGTCTTTAGCAGAGCTCCAGGTCTCGACAGATCCATCACCGAGGACTGTGGCAAAAGTACGACCCGATCGTTTCCTCCAAGCGGTGACTTCCGGCAGCTGTACTCGCATGTACAGCTCATCACCGTTCCGTATCCTCGCTCGTTTAACTGTTTGTGAGGCATCCAGTACGTGGCCATCAGCACTCAACAGCCGACCTCTGCCAACAGCCAGAGCGTTTTGGGCGCTCTGGTTCAACTCTGCCACCGTGGCATCTTCCGGAGTTTCAAGTGAAACCCTCTTGCCGCTGAGAAGATGCACATCAACCGAAACTGCCATGGCCAGTGCTTCAGGCCAGGGGAGAATGGCCACAATTCCCTCTCACACTCGATCGAAGCCCTGACCTCATGCGCTGGGGTTTCGGGCTTAGGGTTTAGGGTTGAGAAAGTGAGACACCCGAAACCCTGAACTCAAAAAATGAGGTTAGGGGTTAGTAGAGGATCTGGGACTGTGCCCTCAATGCCACACTTGTATCTCAACAGCTGCATGCTGACTGACTCGCCCGAACCCTAAACCCTGAACCCAAAATGGTTGGCAGTGTAAGCCCGAACATCCAATGGCTAACCTTTTGGCGGCGGATCCAAGGGGGCCACCAGCAACAAATGGTGTAGGGTCTAGGGCTTATGGAAATTATGCAAGGTCTGGGTCCGGAATTTTGACGAATCTTGAACTTTGTTTTTTTGACCCTAAACCCTAAACCCTAAACCCGGAACCCCTTTTCCAGCTTTCTGCCAAGCCCTTCAACAAATGGTGTTTTGGGGCCTGGGCCTCTCGCGTCTTTCAGGTTTACAGAGCCGGGGGGGGGGGGGGGTTGAGGGGTTGGGGGGGGGGGTTGAGGGTTGAGGGTTGGGTTGAGGGTTGAGGTTGAGGGTTGAAGGGTGAGGGTTGAGGGTTGAGGGTTGAGGGTTGGGTTGAGGGTTGAGGGTTGAGGTTGGGTTGAGGGTTGAGGGTTGAGGGGTTGAGGGTTGAGGGTTGAGGGTGAGGGTTGAGGGTTGAGGGTTGAGGGTTGAGGGTTGAGGGTTGAGGGTTGAGGGTTGAGGGTTGAGGGTTGAGGGTTGAGGGTTTGAGGGTTGAGGTTGAGGGTTGAGGGTTGAGGGTTGAGGGTTGGGTTGAGAGGGTTGAGGGTTGAGGGTTGAGGGTTGAGGGTTGAGGGTTGAGGGGTTGAGGGTTGAGGGTTGAGGGTTGAGGGTTGAGGGTTGAGGGTTGAGGGTTGAGGGTTGAGGGTTGAGGGTTGAGGGTTGAGGGTTGAGGGTTGAGGGTTGAGGGTTGAGGGTTGAGGGTTGAGGGTTGAGGGTTGAGGGTTTGGGGGAAGCCCAAGATCCCACCCCCAAAAAAACCTGAAACCTTTGAGCCCTGACCGTAGCCCTAAACCCTAAACCCTAAACCCTAGAACCGTACGCTTTAGACCCCCTGACACCCTCCCTCCCTACTGCGCCTGACCCAGCGCCGTGATGGCTGCGACCTTCAACTCCATGTCCTCGCCAAGAGGGCTTGAGGGTGTAGGGTTTAGGTAGGGTTTAGGGTTTAGGGTTTAGGGTTTAGGGTGTAGGGTTTAGGGTTTAGGGTATAGGGTTTAGGGTTTAGGGTTTAGGGTTTAGGGTTTAGGGTTTAGGGTTTAGGGTTTAGGGTTTAGGGTTTAGGCGGGTTGAGAGAGGTGGACGAGTTTTTGGAGGCTAGGGTCTGTGCGTTTTTCAAGCGGCACCCAGACCCCCAACCCTGAACCCCAACCCTAAACCCTGAACCCTAAACAGAAACCCTAAACCCTAAACCCTAAACCCTAAACCCTAAACCCTAAACCCTAAACCCCCAAACCCTGAGCCAAAAGCATGAGCCTTCAAGTGTTCAGAAAACCATGGGGCAGCTTTCTCACTTGGGGTGCCCCCTTTGGGATGCAAAAACGGAGCCTTATGATGGGGTTTTAAGTTCAGGGTTTAGGGTTGTGAGCAGGTTCAGGGTTCATTGGGGTACCCTTGTTGGCGGGGGTTCCTAGAAGAAGTTTAGGGTTTTGAGGCTAAAGGTTTAGGGGTACCCTGTTGGGAGGTTCACTTTAGATTATGGTATTTGGGGGACTGACGAAGTTGGGGAATGCCCATAAATGTGTGCAAAAACAATGATGTAGCGAACTGCTCGTAGCTTACCAGTTATCAAAAGGGAACTATAGGGAATTGGGGACCCTACACCCCCTAGAACATCTTGGGAGTACAGTATCTGATGCCCCGATTCCCCACTAAAAATACTACTATCTGCTATCTGGCCTGAGTTTTTTTACGCCCCCCAGTGGCTTCAGGGCTATTGGGGCACCGTTGGCGGGGGTTCTAGACCGTAAGGGGTTCTAGACCGTAAACCCCTAAACCCTCAACCCTCAACCCTCAACCCTAAACCCTAAACCCTAAACCCTAAACCCTAAACCGCGGGGAACAAGGGACCCGTACCGAAGCCAGGAATTCTGGGCTTCTCTCAGCTGCGCAGGATCACATGGACTACATGACTGTGGTTCTTGTGGTACCTTAGCTCAAGTTCCTGAAGCCTAAACCCGAAACCCTAAACCCTGAACCCTAAACCCTAAAAACCCTAAACCCTAAACCCTAAACCCTAAACCCTAACTAAACCCTGAACCCTAAGCCGGAATGACCGTAAAAATCCAAGCCGAGCCCCGCTCGATTACAGTAGGGTAAATATTTCTTGTATCCCCAGAAGGACACCCAGTTTATACACTCACCAAGATGAGAAAGGAACCTTATATGCACTCACCAATAGCCCTAAACCCTAAACCCTAAACCCTAAACCCTAAACCCTAAACCCTAAACCCTGTTTCATATGGATCCTGGAGCTTGGCATCCGATGCCATCTTGATCAGCTTCGGGGCATGCCTGGATGAGGGTTTAGGGTTTAGGGTTTGGGGTTTAGGGCTTAGGGTTTAGGGCTTAGGGTTTAGGGTTTAGGGTTTAGGGTTTAGGGTTTAGGGTTTAGGGTTTAGGGTTTAGGGGTTTACGGGTTGAGGGGTTTAGGGTTTAAGGTTTAAGGGTTTAGGGTTTAGGGCTTCGGGGTTTACGGGTTGAGGGGTTTAGGGGTGTAGGGGTTTAGGGGTGTAGGGGTTTAGGGGTTTAGGGGTTTAGGGGTTTAGGGGTTTAGGGGTTTAGGGGTTTAGGGGTTTAGGGGTTTAGGGGCTTAGGGGCTTAGGGGCTTAGGGGTTTAGAGGTTTAGGGGTTTTGGGGTTTAGGGGTTAAGGTGTGTGTCAGTCTGCGCGCGGGGGTTGCGCCCTCCCCATCGCGCGCTCGCGTAGCTAAGTAGCCCCACCCCCCTACCCGGAATATTCTCTGTTAGGGTTTAGGGTTCTACCCCCAAACCCCCACAGCCTAAACCCTAAACCCTAAACCCTAAACCCTGAACCCTGAACCCTAAACCCTAAACCCTAAACCCTAAACCCTAAACCCTAAACCCTAAACCCTAAACCCTAAACCCTAAACCCTAAACCCTAAACCCTAAACCCTAAACCCCTAAACCCTAAACCCTAAACCCTAAACCCTAAACCCTAAACCCTAAACCCTACCGAAATTCCCGAATTGAACCCTGACCGGGGGCCAGGCAGCCCTTTTGATGCGCAGCGGCACAAGCTTTGGAGCCCCAGGTTCCCTTTTGAGATGTTGCTGAAAAGGGTTTAGGGTTTAGGGTTTAGGGTTAGGGTTTAGGGTTTAGGGTTTAGGGTTTCGGGTTTAGGGTTTAGGGTTGAGGGCGTGGGGAGTAGGGGTTTGGGGTTTGGGTTTCGGGCTTTGAGGGATCCGGACACTGCCCAGAAGGAAGATGATGTCATCTCTGTCGTCACGCAGATCCGACAGGCCCGCACTCGACCACTTCCACAAACAGCGATCCTACTCCTAAAGCTGTAAGTAGGGCCCTAAACCCTAAACCCTAAACCCTAAACCCTAAACCCTGGGGCTTAGGGTTCCGGGCTTCCGGTTTGGGGGGTTGTAGCCTGGCTGACGGCACAAGCCCGTAAGATGTGCTTTCAAGCGTGGCTCGAGGCATAAGAGGCCAGAATAGGGTTTAGGGTTTAGGGTTCAGGGTTTAGGGTTTAGGGTTTAGGGTTTACGGTTTAGGGTTTACGGTTTAGGGTGTAGGGTTTAGGGTTTAGGGTTTAGGGTTGACGGTTTAGCTTAGGAATGCAAACGGAAGAGGTCGGAAGGAACAGCTGCCTGTGGACACATACCTGTACACGCCATTGGAGACTCCTCCGGGTGCGGCTCAAAAGCTAAACCCCGTGAATCTACGGGACTCAACCCTAAACCCTAAACCCTAAACCCCGTATCATAGACCCTAGACGGGTACATTGGGGTACATAGGCTACTGCGGGCACCTGAGAATTTCCTCAGAAGGTTTGCATATATGCATATATGTTTATATAATACATATATATATAGATAGATAGATAGATAGATAGATAGATAGATAGAGATACATATATATATATGTATATATATATATGTATATATCAAAGGGTTGTATAAGGTAGTTGAGGGTCCCTGCGACTATCTCGCAATACTCACTCCTGCACCCCACGTCCGAAACGCTAAGCCGCGACAGCAGTTTTGGGTATTTCCCAAACAGGGGTAGTCCCTATCATCTCCCAGTTCAACAGCTCTAAACCACCCCAAACCCTAAACCCTAAACCACCCTAAACCCTAAACAACCCTAAACCCTAAACAACACTAAACCCTAAACAACCCTAAACCCTAAACAACCCTAAACCCTAAACCCTAAACCCAGCCCAGAGGGTTGCTCTCGAGCCATCCCCGCCGCAAAGCTCATCGCCGAATCTGGTGCCGCGGCTTGATGGAGGGGTAGCTCGCGGGCGAGGGCAGCTTGATGTTGTCAAGGAGGTGCCTGGGATCCATAGGGTTTAGGGTTTAGCGTTTAGAGTTTAGGGTTTAGGGTTTAGGGTTTAGGGCTTAGGGCTTAGGGTTCGGGGTGCCGTCTATTGGGGTCCTCAATATAGGGGTTTAGGGTTTAGGGATTACGGTGGTTTAGGGGTTTAGGGTTAGGGGGTTCAGGGCTTTGGTAGAGTTTTAGTCTTAGGGGTTAGTGGGTTTAGGGTTTAGGGTTTAGGGGTTCAGGGGTTTAGGGCTTATTGGGGTTCTTGATATTACGGGAATCCTACTATGTTGAGTATATTTGAGGGTCCCTATTTTCGTAAACTGCCATGTAGGTACGAACACACCTGCACATATAGAGATGAGCGCTTGCTTGGCTGCATGCACAACCGTGTGAAACAACAAAAACACATCGTATATGCATGCAATAGAAGAGACAAAGAGAAAGAGAGAGAGAGGCGGGCAGAGGCAGAAAGAGCACGCGATAGAGATAAACGGAGCGTGAGGCAGAGGTTTTGCCGCAGCATCCCAGCATCTCTGTCCCAAGATGTTTCCCACAGTGTATAAGCCTGAAAGGCTAACCTCCAAATGAACCCAACAAGAGAGATCCTAAACCGTAAGCCCCAAGCACGCTGAATCGCAGAACAATCAAAGCGAGAAAAGCTGTACTCGGCAT